TCTCCCATCTCTCCCCCATCTCTCCCCATCTCTCCCCATCTCTCCCCAAATCTCCCCCCAAATCTCCCCAAGTCTCGAGGCCTAGATGCGGCGCGCATCTCGGCCATCCACACCTCTCCCCATATCTCCCCAACTCTCCCTCAAGCCTCGACGACGTACCACCCCGCGGAGCTGTCCGTCGTGTATCGCGCGCCTTGCGGGGGGGGCGCGGAAAAGAGGAACCTCTTAGCGCCCTCGCCATGGTGCTGCAAGCAGCGCCGGGCGACGACGACTTACCGCCTCCCGGTCCCCCTCGGCACACCTCCGCTGCTCAATGTCGCAGGTGCGTGCTGCCTCGCACTCCGCCGCTAGTCGAGGGCATGGCCGCACTCGTCCTCATCGACGCGGCGCTGCTGCAGCGGCAACCAGCACTCGAGAGACGCGTATTCAGCCGTATTCGGTCGCATTCGGCTGTATTCACTGTCTTCTTCTCCGTTTGTACTCACACGGTGCTCTGAGTGCGCTGCACACACTACCGTGCTCGTGCCTTGAGGCTGGCGTTTTCTGCCTCCAGGACGCGGCTGGGCGGGGCCTGCACCACCGTGTGCGACGGCACGCGCAACTTTGACCCGGCGAACCCGTGGGGCGACGCGGCCAACGGCGCCGCCAACGGCGCCGCCAACGGCGCGCCGGCGGCGAAGAAGGCGCGCAAGTGAGGGGCGCAGGGGAGGGCGCGGAGGTCCTGCGGCCTCTTTTGCGACGGCCGCGCCTCCAGCCGTGCCGCACGCGTGGAGAAGGGAGGACGCACGCGGCGCCGGCGGGGAAGGCGGTGTTGCGCGAGGTCGGATCCTTCTCTCGCGCTTTCGCATTTCGGTACTCTCGGCCACGTTGTTTCTCTTCTCCGCGCGACCCGTGGGGCATGGGCACACACCGCTGATTGATTTATATTACGGCTTTAGAGTATATGCATTTGTGCAATGCTCGTTCGTGCTTCTAAGTAAGAGAAGTTCTATCTGCACTCTCGTCTGGCCGGCGGAGAGATGAGAGACAGAGTCAGAGCCGAGCAGAGCCGATGTGCCGTACGCACGGGCGGCACGGGGTCCTGCTGCGCTGGGGCGAGTGGAGGGAGATCAGCAGCGAGAGGTCTACCAGCGCGCGCGTGTGCGCGAGGACCATGACCCAGGAGCGCGATCGATGCTACGTGGGCCCAGCCTCCCGCTGCTGCAGGTCGCGCAGCTGCATCTTGAGGTGCTCGAGCTCGCTCCTCTCGCGAGCCTCCCTGGCCTTCTTCTTCCGCATGCGAGCCACCTTGTTCGTCACCTCTTCTGGGGTTGGCGGTGCGCCGCCTTTTTTCTCAAGTATGCGCCGTGCCTTAGCCTCCAGCCCATCGTCGGGCGGGGCGAACGGAGCAGTGCGCACGGGCCGCTGGCCAGCGTCGCTGATGATGCCGCTCAGACTATCCCTCGCGTCGCCAACCATCCCGCTCAGAGTGTCCGTAGCGTCTCCGACGATCCCACCCAAGCTCTCGGTGGCGTCGCGCAGCGCGCTCATAATCGACTCGACCCCGCTGCTACCGCCGCTGCCGCCGCTGCCCCCTTCACCTGCCCCGTTTGGGTTGCGAGGGTCCGCCTCAAGCCTCTGGTTAAGCTCTGCCATGGTTGTTAGCATAGCCTGAGGAGAGGTTAAGGCGGTTAGCGAACCTACCAAGGCGGTCCTGCCCCCGCTGCGCTGGTCAGTGCTATACAGTCGTAAATCCTGGCGCCTTCTCTTCCTCCGTCACAGCTCTGCTCCTCGGCGAGCTTTGAAGCTCAACGTTGAGCTGTGCGAGTTTCTGCAGCACCGCGCGAGAGCTGGGTGATAGAGCCTCTTCCTCGGTCTCGCCCCCAGAAGACTCGGTGGCGGCCATATGCACAGGCTTTGCTCGTGCGTCCCCGATCGTTTTGCACTAATGAAAGAAGAATTTTACAACAAAACTCCTCGCACGACACTGGGCACAGGACTGGGCACGGGACTGGCTCGCACTGAAAGAAGAATTTCCTGGCTCCACAGGTTCGACACAGGGAAAGAAGAATTGAAGCAAACGAATTTTGACACAGGTACAGATAGCTCGTGCAGGTGGGGACCCTGTCCTCCTCCCAGGACTTTTTTTTTCAACACAGGTACGCCACAGGACCAAAAGAGGCCCCGTCGCGGGGCGCCTACACGAAGGCGTCGAGGTGGGCGAAGGGGTGGTTGTGGGGGGGGGGGGGGGGGGGCGCACTCGCAAAAAGAAATCGTCCGCGCACACTCTTGCCCCGCTGCGCCAAGACGTCCATGCCCGCGCCCTCCCGCACCACCGCCGCGCTCCGCACGCCGCCGTCTGCTGACAGTGCTCCGGGTGGTGAAGTCCCAAAGAACGTCCTGAAGGCGGCTGCGGACGGCCGCATGGGAACCGTGCGATCGTGGCTGAATGAAGGCGGGAAGGCGGACACTCTCTTCGATGTTGACTGCGTGGCCGGCGGCGGCGGCGGTAAGATTCCACACACCCTGCTGATGCTCGCCGCACAGAACGGGCACGTGCAGATTGTCGAGCTCCTCCTGAAGCGTGGCGCAAACATCAACCTGCAGAACAGTGGCGGCGTCACTGCGCTCAGCGCTGCCGCCTACTGCGGCCGCGAGCGAATGGTGGAGATGCTGCTGCAGCACGGAGCAGAGATCGGGATGGCGCTGGCAGTTTCAGCCCAGGGCGGACAAGAGCGGGTGGTCGACCTGCTGCTGCGGCGTGGCGCAGAGATCGACCTGCAGGACCGCTACGGCTGCTACTCGCTGGTGCACGCCGCCTACTTCAACCGCCCCGCCGTCGTGCTGCGCTTGCTGCGGGCGGGCGCAGACATGGCGTTGCGCGATGCGGACGGCAAGACGGCGCTGCAGTGGGCCAAGGAGAAGGGCCACTCCGAGTGCGTCGAGGCATTCAGGACGTATCTCGGGGCGGTGGCTGCGAGCCGGCGCAACGCACCGTCGGCCGAGGCTGGCGGCGCAGGCGCGGCGGAGGGTGCGAGTGCCGCGGCCTCTGCTTCGAGCGGCGAGGGTGGCAAGGAGGCCGAGCCGAGCAGTGGGGCAGTGCCAAAGGAGGTCGTGCAAGCGGCTCGGCGAGACGAGGAGGCGGCGGTGCTGGCGTGGCTCGAGGACGGCGGGCGGATCGACGCGACGTTCGAGTACGTCTTTTCGGACAGCACTGTGAGCAGCATGACGCTGCTGATGCTCGCAATGACTTGCGGCCACGAGGAGTTGGCCGAGGCGCTGCTGCAGCGCGGTGCGGATGTCTCGTTGCAGTCTAGCGATGGCGGCACCGCGCTGAGTCTTGCCGCCGCGTATGGCTTCGAGAAGCTGGTCGAGTTGGCGTTGCGGCACGGCGCGGCGATCGACCGGCGAAGCGGCAGCTCCAGTAACACCGCGCTGATACTTGCCGCCGCGTATGGCCACGACAAAGTAGTCGACACGCTCATCAGGCACGGCGCGGCGATCGACCAGCAGAACAGCATCGGCGACACAGCGCTGATTCTCGCCGCTTTCCACGACCACCCCGCCGCCCTCCTCCGCTTGCTGCGGGCGGGCGCAGATATGACGCTGTGCAATGCAGATGGCAAGACCGCGCTGCTGTTTGCCAAGCACAAGGGCCACACTGAGTGCGTGCGCGCCCTCGAGGAGCATGCGGCGGCGGAGAAGGCGGCGGAGAAGGCGGCGGCGGAGGCGGCGTGGGCCGCGGGAGCGGCGGAGAGGGCGGCGCAGAGGGCGGCGGAGGAGAAGGAGGCGGCGCGGCACGCCGAGGAGCTGCTGGCGGAGGTCGAGGCGGAGAAGCGCGCCAAGGGCAAGAAGGGCAAGAAGAAGAAGAAGAAGGGCGGCGGGGCGGGCGGGGCGGGGCCGTCGCAGGAGCCCGAGGAGGGTGCCGAGGCGCTGTCGGAGGCAGACGCAGCCGAGGCGGCGAAGAAGGCCGAGGAGGCGAGGCTTCTCCTGCTTCTCGAGACGCTCACCGAGGAGAGGATGCGGCTCGGCATCACGGCGGAGAGCCAGGCAGCAGCGTCGGCAGAGGTGGCCGAGGCGGCGCGCTTGGACGCTGAGGCGGACGAGGCGGAGGAGGAGGCCGAGGAGGAGGAGGAGGCCGAGGCGGCGGCCGAGGCGGCGGAGGCGGAGGCCGAGGCTGCGCAGGCGGAGTCCAGGGCGGCGCAGGCGGAGGCCAGGGCGGCGATGGAGGAGGTCGTGGCGGCGATGGAGGAGGCCAAGGCGGCGCTGGAGGAGGCCAAGGTGAAGCTGAGTGGAGCCGACTCGGCCGTTGAGGGGGACGAGACGGCGCTCGAGGAGGCGAGGGCCGCCACAAAGATGAGGCGTGCTGCTGCAGTCGCTGCGAGGGCCAGGGCAACCACCGCCAGGATGGCATCGCAGGCGGCCCAGCGCTCATAGCGCGAGTTGCTCAGAAGAAGCGCGTGGCCACCATCCTGCGGACTGTCTAGCTGGGTGGAGCTTGGGAGCTTTCGTCGATGACGCGCTCGCCGGAGGTCATCATGGTTGCACTGAGATGTCATGTTTGGGTGTTGTCGTTGTTCGCTTGAGCCGGGGAGGTCTGAGCGGGGTCGGGGGCTGGGGGCGGGGAGGGGGACCGGGGGGGTGCTCGAATAGCTTGCCGTCGGGGAGAGTGCGCGTCCGCGCGGGGCAGGGAACGTGGGGGACACCTGCGGACAGCATGGCTCTGCTGATGCGCAGGTGCGGACACCTCTCTGGCATGGCTCCGAATCAGGAGAGAGGGAGAGAAAGAAAAGGGAGCGCAAAAACGATATGTATCAGGAAGGTGAGTGCAGAAGATTTGGGGGGGGCGGGCGGGGGGGGGGGACGAGCAGCAAGGCGCAGGAGCATTGAGGGCATGATTGTTTATCTAGCTGATTGAGGGGGACGGAAGGCGGCCAAATCGAGCGGCCTAGCGGCGACGCGTGGGGGCTGCTCCGGCCGGGCGGGCGGGCGCGCCTGCTGAGGCGTGAGGTGGCAGGTGCATGCGCGACTACGTGGTAGTAGAGAGCAGGGCTGCGGGCTCACGTGGCGCACGCGCCGCCGCACGCGCCGAGAAGGCGGCGGAGAGGCAGAAGGCGGAGCGCCGCGCCAAGGGCAAGGCATTCTGCCACCGCGCCGCGGTCAACGGGGTGGAGAGCGGGGTCCCGGAAGGAGACCGGGTAGCGTTCGAGTGGAAGATGGACGAGGGGGAGCTCTTTCACGAATGCCTCGAAATCAGCCCGGACGCCCGTTCAGGCCAGGCAGGCTGCAGCCCAAACGCAAACCCCCAGGATGTCGCTCCTCTTCTCTCTCCGCTTCTTTTCTACAGAAACGGAGACTCGATAGTGAGGGGAAAGAACCAGAAAACGGGAAAGCAAAACAACTCCCCCGAGCGGCGGTTTTTCTTCTTTCGGGGCCATTTTGTAATCATTTTCAATGTATGTAGCTCTTACGTACATTCCCAGAGGAGGACTGCTGACACGTTTGGCGATGAGAAGCGATCCGATTTTAGCGTCCCATCTCGGGTCCGATCGGGCCGGATAGGGCCACGTTTTTCTTCTTTCTGGCGGCCATGCTCCCAACCCAGCTCGCCGACCTGGCTCGGGGCGACCTTGCCTCGCTGCGCGCCTTCCTCTCCGGGCAGGGGACGAGTGGCACGTCGCTCGCTGCCCAGCTCGACGCGCGGCACGACACCGAGAAGCAGGACACGCTGCTCACCTGGGCCGCTCGTCACGGGCAGGCCGAGGCGGTGCGGCTGCTGCTCGAAGCCGGCGCGAGCGTCGGGGCGACGAATGGCGGCGGCGGCTCTGCGCTGTACATCGCGTGCCAGGAGGGCCACCTCGAGTGCGCCCGGCTGCTACTCAAGGCCAGCGCAGCGGTCAACCAAGCCGAGGAGAATGGCGCCGCGCCGCTGCACATGGCGTGCTGGAAGGGCCACCTCGAGTGCGCCCAGCTGCTCGTCGAGGCTGGCGCGGCGGTCGGCCAAGCCAAGCAGGATGGCGCCACGCCGCTGCTCGCCGCGTGCCTAAAGGGCCACCCCGGAATCGTCCGGCTGCTCGTCGAGGCTGGCGCGGCGGTCGGCCAAGCCAAGCAGGATGGCGCCACGCCGCTGTACGCTGCGTGCCAGGAGGGCCACGCTGACACCGCCCGGCTGCTGCTCGAGGCGGGCGCGGCGATCAACCAAGCCAAGGATGACGGTACCACGCCACTGTTCATGGCATGTCAAAATGGCCACCTCGAGTGCGCCCGGCTGCTGCGCGACGCCGGCGCTTCGCTCAACCAGGCCACGGAGGATGGCTACACGCCGCTGCTCATAGCGTGCATCCAGGGCCACCTCGACACCGCCCGGCTGCTCCTCGAGGCTGGCGCGGCGGTCGGCCAAGCCTCGGAGGACGGCTCCACGCCGCTGTACATGGCGTGCCAAGAGGGCCACGCTGACACCGCCCGGCTGCTGCTCGAGGCTGGCGCGGCGCCCAACCAAGCCAAGGATGACGGTACCACGCCGCTGTTCATGGCGTGCCATAACGGCCACCTCGAGTGCGCCCGGCTGTTGCGCGACGCTGGCGCGGCGTTCAACCAAGCTGCTGACGGAGGCTTCTCGCCGCTGTACATCGCGTGCCAGCAGGGCCACCTCGACGTCGCCCGGCTGCTCCTCGAGGCCAGCGCGGCGGTCGACCAGGCCAATGAGAATGGCGCCACGCCGCTGTTCGCCGCGTGCCACAATGGCCGCCTCGAGGTCGCCAAGCTCCTCTCCTCCTACGGCGCCTCCCGCGCCGCTACGCCCTTCGGCACGCCCGAGGAGGCCGCAAACCGCGAAGGCCACGCCGACCTCGCCGCCTGGCTGGTCGCCAGCCGCGGCTGGACGCCGCTCCAGCATCTCGAGGCGTGCCCGAGACTAGCGGCCGAAGGCGTGAGCGCGCTGTCCTCACGCCCATTGTCCCTCTTCCGCAGGCGCTCACCGTCGACCGGGCGCGGGCGCTGCTGCGCGGCGGCGCGGACTCTTCAGCCGGCGACCCTTCTGCCCTCGAGCGGGCGCGCGTCCTCTGCGCGTGGAACGAGTCGGATCCGACTGCTGCGGCCGTCGGCTCCACAGTCGAGATCCGCTCTCTCGTCTCGCGGCCCTCGATGAACGGCAAGGTCGGCGTCGTCGTCTCCGCGAGCGCTTCGACGGCCCGCTTCGGCGTGCGCGTGGCGGGCGAGGCCAAGGCACTCGCACTGAGGCGCGCTATGGTCCCTCCCCCACTCGCCGGATCCTCTCTTTGGACACGCCCCACGCCTCTGCCCTTCCCCAGGCCGGCCAACCTGGAGCCAGCGGCGGTGGAGGTGGGCAGGCTCATCCTCAAGGCGGCGGAGTGGTCGCCGCAGTCGCACGAGCTCTTCCCGGAGGCGGCTCGCAAGCGGGCGGTCGAGGTGATGCGGCTGGGCTACCTGATCGCGTGGGACGAGGAGCGCTTCGAGGGCCGCGAGGGTGCGGCTCCGGAGCTGGCGGACATCTGGCGCGGCTTTGTGCTGCCAACGGTGGTGGCGCGATGAAAGTGCAAAAAAAGGGCCGTGCTTTTTTTGAGAGGTGTAGGTCTGTGTGTCGCTCCAGCGTGCCTGCCTCCATATGCCGCGTCTTGGTGTCCAGCCGAGGCACCAAAGCGCAAAGGTGAAAAGACCACGACGCGGATGATCATGACCTGGCTGACCCTGCCATATGCGACGTCGGCGCTCGAGAGGGTCTTTTCTCGCAGCTGCGAGACATGCTTTCTCGGAGCGGGGCATCCAAAACAACAGGGCGGAAGGGAGGGGTGACCATACGCGCAGCGCAGGAGGGGTGCCCCTAAGGGGGCACAAAGGTAGCTCAAAGGGGAGTGAACAAGACGCCGCACAGGCGACGTGCACGCTCGCCGCCTGCGCTCGCCGCGTCGCTCTCTCCCTCCCCTTCTTTGCTTGAACTGGGGAATAAAGAGAGCTTCTGCGAGCCGCGCTCGGCCCCTGTCGGGCGCGATGGCCGCGGCAGTACCGCCGATTGATCTGCACTGCGTTCACGCGGGGCCCGACGCCCCCGTCCAGGGCCCCGCTGCCCACCCGCTGGTGGTGGCTACTGCCGTCCTCCGCTGGGGGCCGGTTGCGGCTGCGCCGAGCGGAGCAGCGCGCGTGCAGCTTCCGCACCACGCGATGCTGCGCGTCTTTGGCCGGCGGCTGCGCCTCGCGGCGCCCCCCGCCGGTACTCCCGCCCCGATGGTCTGCCCGCTGGACCTCGCTCTCACCGGAACCGCGTGGGCTCGCTTCCTGAACGAGCTGCTCACGTGCGGGCTCCTCGACGCGGCCCCCTTCTCCTCTTCGGCTGCACTACAGCTGGCGATCGACCGCCTCGATGTGTCGCCAGCGGCGCTGGAGGTGAAAGAGCCCGACCTCCTCCCGGTGGGGGGCCTCGCCGCCGCGGCCGCGCTGGCGGGGGATGCTGCTCATGCGCAGCGCGGGGCGCCTCGCCGAGCCAGCGCCGCGGCGTCTGCGGCGAGGCCGGCGGCGGCTGCGCGCGCGGCCCTCGCGCCATGCCTCGCCCCGCTGGCTTGCACCCCGCTCTCCACCCTGGAGGTCGAGGGGGACGCGCCGTGGACCGTGATCGCCTACCTCTCCGGCATGCTCGGCCCCTGCCTTGGGCAGGCAGAGCGCGATCGCGCGGGGTCGCAGGTGCAGCTCGGCGCCCACCTCCTCGCCAGCGGCTGCATCTCCGCGTACGGCCTCCCCCCGAGTGCTAACCCGCAACTACTGGCGAGCTATTTTAAGGACTACGTGCTCGCGCTGGAGGGCGCGCTGCCCCCTTCGCTCTGCGCCCCCAACGTTGCGGGGCCGCAGTGGCTGGAGGAGGCGCGCGATGCGGCGACCTACTTGCGCGACGACGCTGGCCGCCGCAGCGTCGAGGATAAGCGCCTCTACCTGCTCGCCCCCGGCGCCCCGCTACTGTTCTCAGTCCTTGGCGACGTCCGGCGGGGGGGGGAAGCGCGCGACCTCGTGTTCGACCTCGCTACCGCGCTCCTGCCGGACGCGCGCATGAGTGCGCCCACCACGCCGCTTGCCACCGCCGTGCGGCGCGTGGAGGCCTCGCTTGCCCCGAGGCGGGCTGTCTTGGCCGCTGCCTCTGCCAACGGCGCGTCCCCGCAGTCCGTGGTGGCCGCGCTGGTCGAACATGCCGCCTCGCTGCGCTCACCGAGTGCGGTGGCTGCAACAGACACGGCCCCTTCTCGCTCGGGCGCCTACGGAGGTGACGGGGGAGGCGGGCTGGCTTTTGGCAGCCTGGACGCGGAGTTCTCCAGCGCCCCGTTCGTGGACTTCGAGCGCACCATCCTCAGCTCGCCGTGCCACACGCCGGACGAGCGCGCCGGCATCTTCGACCTCGCGCTGGCTGGCACTTTGCGATCCACTTTGCGCATCCTCGTGAACGCCCCTTCGGCCGCCGCCCTCTCGCGGCGTCGCCCCTGCCTGGGCAAGCTCGCCGAGCTGCGCCCGTTCCTGCCAGAGTACCTCGCCTCGGCGGTCCTACGCCTCTATACTACAGTAGCCACTGCCACCGTGATCGTCCACGACGCGATCTTTGGAACCTCGACGCGCGCTCGGCGGCGGCGTGGCGGCTTGCGTTGCGCTCCGCCGCCGTGGCGGCGGTACGCTGTTGGGCCTGATAGTCCTCCCTCTCGCAGCCGGTGGGGCGCGCTCGCCTCCACCCCTCGGCGGCGCGCGCTGCCGGCCGAGCCGCGGCGCGGCTCGCCGCCGCGACGTGCTCGGCGGCGGCGTGGCAGCTCTGTGTTGCGCCCTGCCGCCGTGGCGGCGGTGCACCCCGTCGCTGTCCTGGCGCACATATCTGCTGGGCCCGGCAGCGCCTCTCGCCGCCGGTGAAGCGCGCTCGCCTTTCCTTTGGCGACACGCGCGCCGGCCGAGCCGCGGCGCCTGTGGCTGCCACGACGCGATCAGCAGCGGCGTGGCGGCTCGCGTTGTGCTCCGCCGCCGTTGCGGCTGTGCGCCCTGTCGCTGTCCCAGCGCCTGTTTTGGTGGGCCCGACAGCGCCACTCGCCGTCTGCGGGGCGCGCTCGCCTCTCCCCTTCGGCGACGCGCGCTGCCGGCTGGGCCGCGGCGCGATCTTGTGCCAGTGCGCGTTCGACGGCGGCGGCGTGGCGGCTTGCGTTGCACTCCGCCCACCTGTTGGGCCTGACAGTCCTCCCTCCCGCAGCCGGTGAGGGCAAGGCGGACGCGCAAGGGGGAGAGCAAGGGCGAGGGCGGTCCGAAGCCGAAGAAGCGCAAGGTGACTGCGTCGGGAGTATGAATCATGTTATCCATTGATAACACACGATTGTTCTTTCGCAGGTGACTGCGTCGCGATCCGCGGGCGGTGCACCGCGCCCTCCGCCGGGCGTCTGGTCGTCTCGCACCGGTAAGCGTTTGGGATGGCGTGTTGCTTTTGCGCTCTTGTAGAGTAATGAGTACGTTCTAGCCTAGACCGGACGCGGAACCATCCACATCATCACTGGCTCGCGGCAGTAAGGACACTCTTGCATCAGCTCAGAGCATGGCCCGCAAGCACACAAGTGCCCGCACGGAACCGCAGCATGCGACTTGACTCTCGCGAAACACACGATGCACGTGGTCTCTCCCCCCATCGTGGACTCGGGGGCAGCCGGCCGTCCTGTGTCGAGGCCGGCGTCGGCTAGTGAGATGGCAGCAAGCGGCTCGGTGACTGGCAGATGCTGCTCCGCCGCCTCTCCCGCCTCTGGCTCGATCAAGCGCTCGATGGCGCCGACCCGCTCCTCGAGGCTGCCCTCGGTCGCCGTGCCGAGGCTCGCCTCCAGCCGCTCGACACGCCGCGGCAAGTCCCCCCCGCCGCCAGTCGGCTCGCTGCTCACCGCCGCCTCGCACCGCGACACCCGACGCGCCAGTGCCTCCTCCTCCGCATCTATCTCTGACCGGCGCAACGCCTCTGCCAGCTCCGCATCCTCGCGCAGCGCCGCCCGCTCTGCCGCACCCGCTAGCTCTGCCGCCTCGCGCTCCGCCCGCCTCGCCGACTCCTGCTCAGCAGCCAGCTGCGCCGCCCTCTCCTCCTGTGCGCGAACCTCTGCCGCAGCCTTCGCCCTCCGCTCCTCCTCGAGCGCGAAAGCAGACGGCGCCTTCTTGGCCTTATTCTTCTTCGCCTTGGCCTCCTTCTTGGCCGCCGTTGCCTCCGCCGCCTTTGCGCGCCGCCTCGCCTTATCTTCCTCCGCCCTCCTGTCAGCAGCCTCCTTCTCGCGCCGCGCCGCCTCTGCCTGAGCGGCTTTGCGCGCCGCCGCTGCCGCCCGCTGCTCCTCTCGCTGCGCCTCCTCAGCCGCTCGCCTCTCCGCCTCCCTCGCCCGCAGTGTCTCCTCTGCTGCCGCGCGCTCAGCAGTCAGCTTCGCCGTCGCCTCCGCCGCAATGGCTCGCCTCTGCTCCTCCAGCGCCGCCGCATCCGCCGCCCGGCGCGCCTCGTCCGCCGCTCGCTCTGCTTCGCGCTGTCGTGCCGCCTGTTCGCGCTCTCGCGCCGCCGCCGCCGCCTCCCGCTCGCGCTTCTCGCGCCGCCCCTTGGCCTCGAGCGCCTTCTCCGCCGCCTTCTCGGCCGCCTCCGCCTCCCTCAGCGCCGCTGCGTGCTCTGTGAGAGCGCGCACGCACCCGGCGTGGTCCGTTTCAGGAGCACTGGCGGCGTCGGCAGTAGCTAGCACCTTGGCCGCCCCCTCCTTGGCGATCTGCAGCGCGGACCTGCCGTCTGCAGAGCGAGCCTTTGCATCCGCGCCAGCACGAAGCAGGCGGAGCACGACGGCGGGGTGGCCGCTGTAGGCGGGGCCCATCAGCGCGGTGTAGCCTTTGCTGTCCTGCAGGTTGACCTCAGCGCCGTGCTGCATCAGCATGTCGACCACCCGCTCGTGGCCTTTGGTGGCGGCGAGCATCAGGGCGGTGTTGCCGATGCTGCTCTGCAGGTTGGTCTCAGCACCGTGCCGTATCAGCAGGTCGACCACCCGCTCGTGGCCGTGGTTGGCGGCGGCCATCAGCGCGGTGGCGCCGCCGCTGTCCTGCAGGTTGACCTCAGCGCCGCGCCGCAGCAGCAGCTCGACCACCCGCTCGTGGCCGTTGTGGGCGGCGCATATCAGCGCGGTGTCGCCGTTGCTGTTCCGCTGGTTGATCCCCGCCCCGTGCCGCAGCATCAACTCGACCACCCGCTTGTGGCCATGCTGGGCGGCGCTCATCAGCGCGGTGCCGCCGTCGCTCCTCTGCAGGCTGATCTCAGCGCCGTGCCGCATCAGCAGCTCGACCAGCCGCTCGTGACCGTTGATGGCGGCGTGCATCAGCGCGGTGATGCCGATGCTGTCCTGCAGGTTGACCTCCGCGCCGTGCTGCTGCAGCAGCTCGACCACCCGCTCGTGGCCTCTGTCGGCGGCGCCCATCAGCGCAGTGCTGCCGTTGCTACTCTGCAGGTTGACCTCTGCGCCGTGCTGCAGCAGCAGTTCGACCACCCGCTTGTGGCCTTCCTGGGCGGCGTGCATCAGCGCGGTGCCGCCGAGGCTGTCCTGCAGGTTGACCTCAGCGCCGCGCCGTATCAGCAGCTCGACCACCCGCTCGTGGCCGTAGTAGGCGGCGTTCATCAGCGCGATTTCGCCGTTGCTGTCCTGCAGGCTGACCTCAGCGCCGTGACGCAGCAGCAACTCGACCACCCGCTCGTGGCCATTGCGGGCGGCGCCCATCAACAGCGTGAGGCCGCTCACGCCGTCTCTCTCGTACGTCGCGTCGGCCCGCCCGCCGCCCTCGAGCCACGCCAGCACTGCCACCTCCTCGCCACGCTCCGCCGCCAGCACGGCCGCATCGGAGCAGCTCAGGGATCCTGCGCCGCTGCCAAGCTCGCGTGCCCCAGACGGGCAGCTGCCAACGCGAGTACTCACCATGTTGCTCACCATGTATATACATGTTTGGGTTCCGGCTCTTTGGGGGTAGGGCGACCTGTTGCGAGAGTAGCACCGGCGTCGAGCCTCGTAGGCAGCCGGGGTCTCGAATCAGGGTCGGACAAAAGGTATAAGGTGCAACAAGCGCGCGTGCTGCCAAGCGCGCGTGCACCCACCATCGCTGGGTTCCGGCTCTTTGGGGGGTAGGATACGGTGCCGATGACTCCAAGGCGGTATCGCTGGGTTCGGCTCTCTGGGAGGTAGGATCATCAGATGACTCAAAGGCGGCGCGACACACACCACACAGAACAATGCGCTGCTCCACGACTACAGGGTGTGTCGTAAGACCGGCTTGGGGAAGACCCCTCCCCCCCCAGCCGAACGCAAGCCATCTATCTAGACCGGACGCGGAACCACCACATCATCACTGGCTCGCGGCAGTAAGGACACTCTTGCATCAGCTCAGAGCATGGCCCGCAAGCACACAAGTGCCCGCACGGAACCGCAGCATGCGACTTGACTCTCGCGAAACACACGATACACGTGGTCTCGCCCCCCATCGTGGACTCGGGGGCGCCGGCCGTCCTGTGTCGAGGCCGGCGTCGGCTAGTGAGATGGCAGCAAGCGGCTCGGTGACTGGCAGATGCTGCTCCGCCGCCTCGTCCCGCCTCTGGCTCGATCAAGCGCTCGATGGCGCCGACCCGCTCCTCGAGGCTGCCCTCGGTCGCCGTGCCGAGGCTCGCCTCCAGCCGCTCGACACGCCGCGGCAAGTCCCCCCCGCCGCCAGTCGGCTCGCTGCTCACCGCCGCCTCGCACCGCGACACCCGACGCGTCGGAACACGGCTCAGAGATCCTGCGCCGCTGCCAAGCTCGCGTGCCCCAGACGGGCAGCTGCCAACCATGTGACGCGCATTGCGTCAGAAGCGTGCACGCGCTGGAAGGACACCTTCCTACTGGCCGTACGATCAGGTCGTCACTGAATGCTTGATACCAACGAAGGCCGCGAGCTGTGCAGGTGATCAATTGTGCAGCATGGCACGGTCAGCAGCGCCGAAAGGATGTCGCAAGGCGTGATAGCATGGCCGCAAGTACGCCGAATTCCCATGCCATGAAAACAAGTGAAAATGGCGCAAAAAAGAAAAAAATCGCGCATGGGACCCATCTTCCCCCACGCGGCGGATGTCTGTGTGTGCGGGGCCGCTGAAATATACCACACCCTGGGGTTCTTCGAGGTTGCGCTCTCCAACGCGCCCTACTCGGACTCGGACAAGGTGCGCGCAGCGGCCCAGCGGCTACCCCCCGCCGTTCGGTCGCTGTGTCGAACCTGTGTGCCGTGCGAAAGAAAGAAAGAAAACAGGCAACCCAACGGAGGCCGTGCGAGCCGGACGTGTTCGCCGTGCTATTGCTATCCTGCCCTATGGGAGGCAGAGGGATGGGGGGAGGGGGGGCGGAGGGCAGGTGGGGTGAGCCTGGAGAGGACCAATCCTCGCTACCCAACGCGGCCAAAGGATATCCACCTCGAGAACCTCGAGGAGAGGACCTTTTAGGTCCTCCATGGGGGCCGGGAAGTCAAACCCACACATCCCGCCGGACGACGAAGTACTACGAGGTGGATCTCCGAGAGGGTGAAGGTCCCAGCGGCCTTGCCGCGCAGGATGCGCCGCCCGGGGCCGATCCTAGGCTTCTTCTTACTCGCGGCCGCCGCGCGCGCCGCTCGGGTGCTCTCTCACGATCACCCCGCGTTTGTCGCCGTCGACCGCGGGGAAGTCGAGAGCCTGCGCGAGTGGCTCGAGGCACGTGGCTGTGCCAACCTGGGGCGCAACGCGAGCGGCTCCCCGATCTCCGTGCTCCGCGGCTGGGTCGGCGGCTTCCCGGGCGCCAGGGGCGGCCAGCAGCCCGCGTGCATCCCGACGGGCGACGCCGCGGCGGGGCTGGCGTTCAAGGTGCGGGAGGGTGTCTCACCGCTGCTCGTGTACGCGGCCAACTCTGTGGACTGGTACCCTTCGCAAGGGCTGTCCAACGACACCGGCGCGCAGATCGCGAGCCTCCTCCTCGCCCACGGCGCCGACCCAAACGAGATTGGACCCGCAAACAACACGGCGATCGCCGAGGCGTCGGCGCGCGGAGACGTCGGGTTCGTCGAGCTGCTGCTGCGGCACGGCGCCGACCCGTGGCTCGGGAGGATCAGGGCGCTGCTCATGGCCGCCGGCGGCGGCGCCTCGCTCTGCCCCCCC